AATAATAATAATAATAATATTTAGCAGCGAAGTAAAGCTGCACGAGCAGAGATTCTCTCTTTGTAGGACGTTTTACACCGGAGTTTTACAGTAACTTTCCTTTACTGCTTGGATTTCTATCAGATTGTGGATATGCTTGTAAAGCTTCTTTCTCCTCGCCAAGAGGACGACGAGAAACAGGAAATCGCTGCAGACCTCAGAGAGACTATAGAGAGACACGATGAGCAGTAAGTTCACTTGCCTATTATCAGCTAGTAGCTCGTCCTGGGGAGAAATTTAGCAGCAATTGATAGCCTTTTTCATGACTAACTTTTCTCATTTGCATTATAATATAATCAAACATGTAGGTGAGGCAATTTCGAGCAATTTTGTAGTTTCAGCCTGACGTTGCCTCGCATCCACGTTGAATTTCATTGTAATGCAAATGGTGAAGCTAACTGGAGCTATTGTATATTGGTTGTTTTATTATTATTATTTATTATTATTATTATTTTAGGGAAAAAACTTAACAACAAAATTTTTGAATTTTTACCAGATATATGCAAGATTCAATTTGTATGAAAAAGTACTCAATAAAGTTTGTTATTATTATTATTATTATTATTATTATTATTTATCTAATTGTTTATATTTCATTAGGTTGAGAGAGATAACGTCATGTCTTAAGAAGCAGAGTGCAATGCTTGAAGAAATTCGAGAAATGGCCACGGATAAGAAGCGAAGACCTAAGCGTGATGAGCCAATGGAGGAGGGCACCGACATTACAGAGTTCTACGTTTAACAGAAAACACATCTCGGTTGTGGATGAGTGCGGCTTACCGCTGATCTACCGCTTTGCCTGCGGGCTATTCTNAACAACAGCAACAACAACAACGAAGACAAAGATAACAGCAACGGCCGCGTGAACAACAATGACAACAACAACAATAGCGACAGCAACAAAAACAAAAACAGCAACAATAACAACAGCAGCAGCAATAAAAACTTACAACAACGAAATAGGTACAAAATAATAATAATAATAATAGTAATAATAATAATAACAATAATAATAATAATAATAATATTTAGCAGGGAAGTAAAGCTGCATGAGCAGAGATTCTCTCTTTATAGGACGTTTTACACCGGAGTTTTACAATAACTTTCCTTTTCTGCTTGGATTTCTATCAGATTGTGGATATGCTTGTAAAGCTTCTTTCTCCTCGCCAAGAGGACGACGAGAAACAGGAAATCGCTGCAGACCTCAGAGAGACTATAGAGAGACACGATGAGCAGTAAGTACACCTGCCTGTTTTCAGCTAGTAGCTCGTCCGGGTGAGAAATTTAGCAGCAATTGATAGCCTTTATCATGATTAACTTTTCTCATTTGCATTATAATAAAATCCAACATGTTGGTGAGGCAATTTCGAGCAATTTTATAGTTTCAGCCTGACGTTGCCTCGCATCCATTGTAATGCAAATGGTGAAGCTAACTAGAGCTGTTGTATAATGATTGTTTTATTATTATCATCATCATCATCATTATTATTGTTATTACTATTATCATCATCATCATCATCATTATTATTTAGGGAAAAAACGTAACAAAATTTTTGAATTTTTACTAGATACATGCAAGATTCAATTTGTATGATAAAGTACTCAATTAAGTTTGTTATTATTATTATTATTATTTATCTAATTGTTTATATTTCATTAGGTTGAGAGAGATAACGTCATGTCTCAAGAAGCAGAGTGCAATGCTTGAAGAAATTCGAGAAATGGCCACGGATAAGAAGCGAAGACCTAAGCATGATGAGCCAATGGAGGAGGGCACCGACATTACAGAGTTCTACGTTTAACAGAAAACACATCTCGGTTGTGGATGAGTGCGGCTTACCGCTGATCTACCGCTTTGCCTGCGGGCTATTCTAAAGACCTGTCCGTGATGCTATTTTGTTTTGCAGTATCTTCGGTACCAAGCTAGCGTACGTCTGGTTGAAAATAAG